GCTTCTCATCAGTTTTAGAGACTCTTGGAAGAAACGGTCACCTAGGCCAGAAGATTGAGGGATAATAATGGAGGATAAGACTCCTCCTTTCAGTCAGGACCTAGAGAGCCTTGACCCTTCCTGGGGAGGAGGTAGAGGCCACCAGGGCCCAGAGGTGCCCTCCTCTAAAGGAGTCCCCCCCCCCACTTTCAATTCACTTTCTCATCGCAGGGAGCTTTAAAATAACACACAAAAGAAGTTATCTTCCACCCATCAATTGCTCTTGTAGAATCCAGTCCTCTTACCCCCAGGGAGCTGTATATCTTGACCCCTTAGAGAGAGGAAGTTAAGCAAAGTGGGGGGGGGGGCAATTTTCTAGGAAATAAAGAGACCGTGGATCCAAACCCAAAATTAAATCTAAATGCACAGGTGAAACTGCACTGGTTGTTTCTGCTGAGAAATTAAAAACCACGTGGTGACTGGGGGCTAGAAAGCCAGGGGCTATGAAAGAACTGGGTGAAAGTGGAAGAGTAAAGAAAGTGACATCTGAGCTCCCAAGTTTAAAGATAATTTTCTTACAAACTTTTCTTTCTAACTTTTCTTGAGGAGGACCGTTGGGGAGAGGTGACTGGAGCACTCACCCCTTCTGTTTTTAAACTCCCTACAATCGCTTCAAGGAAAGTGTCTTTTTCATGGACTTTCCAAAAGTTGTGGGACGCTAGCTGAAGGCAGCCCCTTCTAACTGGAATAATAAACACAAATTCCTCTGTGTCCTCCGGCCAAGGCTTTGTGAAAAGACAAGGCATCATTCTTTTAGTTGTTGATTAATAAAAGTATTCAAAATATCGTTTTCCTTTTCAAACCTGAAAGCAGGGTCTCTGTCCCTCTCTCTGTCATCATTTGCTTTCTGTTCTAAGTGAGTGTTAATGAAAGAGCTAAGTAGCTAGTTCAAGTGTGTTTAACCTGATGGAGCAAATGCCCAACAGCCGCGGGCGGCTCTGAACGCTGCGGCACTGCGGCCCCTGTGCCACCGCCCTGGTCGGTTCCCACTCCTCCTCCACTCCTCCTCGCACTTGGACCCCGTCATTTCCACCTGTCCTAAATCTCAGCCGTGAGACCCAAGCAGGTGACAGTCTGTTCAGTGGCCCTTGGGATTCCCGAAACCCTCAGATGGGAAGTCTTAAGTTGTCGCTGGCCCAAAGGAAAAAGGCCTTCAACAAGTTGGCAGAGCTGCCCTCGCCGCCCGCCCACCCCCAACCCCCCGCCACCGCCAGTCTTTCCCTCCAGAAATTCGTTTCTTTGAAGGGTAATAGAGTGGGTCCCAACGTTTTCTTGAGTTTCCTCCAACGGAAACCGGCATCCTGGTGTCTCCTTGGAAAGTCGATGAGCTTACCGGCTGTTTGGATTTGCTTGTTTTATTACAATTGGGTTCTTTTGGGGGGGCTGTGGGGGGTGGTTCGAGACTTTTTTCTTAAGCAAAAGAAGTTGAAATCAAAATAGGAGTTAAAGGAAAGATGGGTCATTGAGGAAGAGGATAGAACAGATATATCCCTTCACCCATTGTATTGCTTTAATTAATGCCTGTAATGGCAAAGAACTGATTTTCATTGCATAGCATTTAACAGGAAATTTTTCTTTCTTCGTATTATAATTGAGCTAGCCCCACAGTACCTTTGGAAGAAAGTTTGAATTCTTTATGGAGGTATTTCTGAGACTATTGTCTTTGTGCAATGAACTTTACTTCTTGCTATTCAATAGCAACCTATATTCTCCTGGCTACCAGCAAGATTAATTTAATCATTGTAATGCAATTATTAATACTGTTTACCCAACGCAGGGTTTCAGGTTGGCTGTTAAGAAATTAAACTCTCGCTGGGTGACCAGAGCTAGGCAGGGGTTTCTTCATGTTGAAATGAAACAGTCCTCTTTATTTAGTCTCAGAGCTCTAGCTTTCGGCCACGGGTTCAATTAGCCAAAATGGAAACAATTTTCATTCATTGCAATAACTCACTGTTCTGGAGATCGCTTTCAAAATATACACTTTATTATTATACGTTGACCTCGGTGGCGTGGAGTGGCAATAAAAGAAAGAGGCAAGGAGATCTATCTAGCCCCCTTGGGCTATAATTATTAGAAATTAATTGGGTTCAGGACCCTGGGTAGTCTAGCTAAATTAATAGCTTGTCCAGTGGTTTAAATCCGAATTTTAGTCCACGGGAGAGAAAGAGAGTCACAGACATGAAATGCAGACCCAAGGGACGCCTGAGTTTACTTGCAAGACACCGATCTATTAAATGGTATCCAGAATACATTTGAGTTGGGGCGGGGAGGAGGCAGACGAAAGAAAGGAACGACTTGAGAAGGAAGATGGCGAGGGAGCTAAAAGGTCTCCAGTTGATTTTATTCGATTTTTCTTGTCTGCATTGTATTGTATTGGGGAGGGGTTGCATTTAGGGGTTAAAATAAAAAATAAAGATCCCGTGTACTCGGAGCTGTCGTACCGGAGTAAAAGTGAAAAGGGAGCCTTAGGCAAAAGGAAATTACTGCGAGCCCGCGTGACCTTTCAGGGAGGTAATCAATCAAGTGATCAACAGGGATATTTATCATCGCTATATAGGACTACTTCTCACTGCTGGGTGGAGTGGGGGAAGGCGAAAGGAGGGTGGAGACACGCACGCACACACACACTCACAAAACTTTGCACAAACCCGATAAATCTCGAGACAGAACCTGCAGGCTTTAATAAATGTTAAGACTGTCCGTTTAGTTTGACACTCTCGGAGAAACACACACGCAAACACACAAGCAGGGGTAACTGCGCACTTTCCCGCAGCACTGGCTGCGCAAAGGTGTCAGCTTTAAACCGTCGACTGCGCTTTACCCAGAAAGGGAAGCTGCTGGTGAAAGGCGCGCTTCCAGCGTCTGCAGGGGAGAGC